GTTCACAGATTACGTGGTGACAAAACAGCTGGAAAAACATCGGGACGAGGGAAAAACAATCGAAGGGGAGGCGAAAGGGGGTTGGACGAGGGAATCGGGAAAATCGGAAACAATTGTCGCTCGTGTATGTTCGAAGAGAGGACTTGTGCGCGCGCAATTTGCGCGTCAGGAAAATGCATGCTTCGATGGCAGCAGCTGCGGGACGTTATTGATACTACATTTCTCCCGATTTGACGAATTGCCGTATTGGACTAATGGTCCGAATACGAAAGCCCCTGCCGATCCAGACCCAGCTTCTGACTCGCGGCTTCCTAGCGAAATTGTTGACCCCCCCGTAAAACTATAACTTGCTCATAATTCTCCGACATTTTCGGTCTGGAGAAGCCGGAGGAAAAAACGAGGACGTGGTCAAACAAATGGCAAAGGTAATACCGATACTTCTGCTCCGTTTACTTTTCGAAAATCAATGCCTACCAATCGAGTCTTTCTCCATTTCCGTGATGTCTTTCTCCGTTGAAAAATTTTTCATCCTTACCGTGTATCGTGTATCGGATGTTGGGCTTTTGCTCGAACGTAATTTGTTACGTAATATATTGCAACAAATTATTTGTAAGAGTTTAGAACGTTCGGAGAATGTAAGAATGAATGTTCAAATTTCTTTGAAAACTATTACTACGTATAGTACTATATATAACAGAATATGTAATATAATATAATAAATAATACAAAAATTATTATTATATATATATACATTCAAAAACGTACAGACACGAACATCCATGTTTATACGTTAAATGATACTGTAAATACGTTTGCATAATCAGAGCTAATCCAAATACAAATTTGTATTTTCCAATTGTGAAACTCGACCTTAAATTCATGGAGTGCTTTACGCGCGTTACATCGTTCGAAAGCTAGTTAAATTATACGTATTATAATTGTGAGTATTTTTCAAATTGCCACCTATGTAACTGTATGAGAGTAAAAACCTTAGCATATGCAGATTAAACGCTATTGACTAGAAGAACGATATGTATAAATGGAAATGTTCACCGTGCTATATATATTTATGTAACAAATATACCGTCTACGTTTCGATCTATTCTAGCATTTGGAACGGATTCAAGTAGACTAATATAAATTAGAAGTTCTTACCAGAAAAATCTGTCGTAAAGGTGAACCAAAGCATTTTAGCAGGACGCACAATTTTCCTCAACCTCGGCCTGGTCGATGCTAAGAATCAGCGTCACCGAAATATCGCGGTGTAACTTTGAAAAAATAGGTCGATTAAGAGCGCCGATATCCATCAAACTGTCTCTTAAAATATTCGGCCGGCGATCGAAACATAATCTCGAAATGGAGAATGAATACGGAAACACCGTTCTAGTACGTACGGAAGAAAAGAGAAGACTGAGGCACGAGCAGCAACACTAGCTGACGATATCGTCGAACGCAGTAAGGAAAAAAAAGTCAACAAAGACAAACTGCCTGCGAGTATATTCTAAACATATACAAACCGTTCGATCTAACCTTACTCGGCGTCGATTACTATTAAAGGAACGTAAACTTTAGAGATTGACGACTTAAGGGGAGGCCAAGGTTAATTCGTACAAAAATAAGGCATGTATTTGTGATAATTTGTGACGACACAGTTAAAATCTCTTTATTAAAACCAATAGTACATTAAAGTATGACATTCGAAGAATATTGTATAAAATTTTCACGGAGAAATATCAAAAAATACGGCAATGGCAGCGATTATTCGGACGTGTCTCGGAGAAAAGTAGATTTTGTGAAAGCTCGCGGCCAATTTTCCCTTCAAAGTGTTCCAAAAAAGTGAACAATTGAAATTTCGAAAAACCCTCCCAGCGTTACCTGGGGAAAACTGTTACCTAATGAATGAACTTTGATTTTTTGATTTCATATGATCCAGCACCGAGTTATGAGCAATTCTACTTTTTCCGAGACACGTCCGAATAATCGCTGCCATTGACGTATTTTTTAATATTTCTCCGTGAAAATTGTATACAATATTCTTCGAATGTCATACTTTAATGTACTATTGGTTTTAATAAAGAGATTTTAACTGTGTCGTCACAAATAATTCACAAAAACATGCTTTATTTTTGTACGAATTAACCTTAGCCCCCCCTTAAGAGCTAGAATTGATCGCAATATCGCATGATCCAAAACATTTTTTCCTTCCATTGACGTATATATGTAATACACGATATTCGAATTTATATAAAATCAAGAAATACTAGATATAACGTTTAAAATAGTAAAAATATAAGTAGCAGCGCATTACGTTATAATTTAATATTATTTGATGAATAATATTCGTTGATAAATGCTTGTTAGATATCGACATGTCGTAAACAGTAATTTGCGAAGGCAACGAATTTTCGCTAGCAATATGGAACAAGTGTCGTTAATGGCTGACATATTGAATCCCGATTACGATGCGGATCAGAATAATCGTAAATTCGATCTACTCTCAAATATCCATTAACGTTTCAGTTAATCTCGAAATAATTAATTCGATTTTATCGAAAGACTAGAAAATCCATATGCCTTTATATGACTAGTGATTGCAATTTGGCAGAAATATCTAATTCGTTTTCCCGCCATTTTCATATGCATACGCATTGTGGTTAACAATAATTTCTATTCATATATTTACACTTACCGAACTAGCTAGCGCTATGATATTTCGTAGCATCGTATCAGGAAATCCAATTTTTGTACCTCCAACGAACACGTACACCAAGTTTTCTCAACTAATTGACACAAATTAACTTCCAATTAACGAACATGTGCACCACTTCACCTCACCGAACACTTTTACGAAAGAAAACATCAAATCAAATGTTGGTCTGATCGGCGGGCGTTAGTGTCGCCACCTACCGACGATGTCGTGAACTATTACTTTCAACTTAAGTTATCCACTGCCAGTGATCGAGTGCCGCCAAATTAAATACTTGTCATTTTCGTTGTTCGAAGAATAATCTTATCTCTTCGTAGGTAGATACTTTTAATTTGTTTTGTACCCCAACATATCTTTTAAATCTAAGATCAGAAAGTACCAAGAACTTAATCTCTAACTGTTACGTTATCGTAAAACGCGTATGTATTAAATATATTTTTTAACGTTATTATCGCTTAAATAATTTTGATGTCTAGACAGAAAATTAAAATAAATAGAACTGCAATTTCGATTCCTCCACTTTTTTGTTTCTAATATAATTACGGCTCTGTCGCAATTAAAGCACTCACATTTCCTATTTTTCTCTCGAATTGATTCAGAAAAATAGCCCCGAAGCCGAGGAGAAATGAAACTACATTATGCATAGCGCACCATTTTGCTTGCTGCATTCTCGGGATGATAATGGCATCGTTTGAAGTGTTCGCGTAATTAATGAAGCTAAAAACTTTTGACCCTTAATTACGCTGTCCATTGTATTTCGAGAGTTCTTTCTTTCTCGGGACTACTATGAGAATGCGAATAAAGAATACAGACCATATTGCAATCAACGAATGTCTCAAGGAATAAATTATATACACGCGATCATTGTTTCTGACCCCTGTTACATCTGTCCCCCTATATAAAATTTCTAAATAAGAAATTCAAAATTTAATGATACTGATATCGCTTTAAAAAAAAAAAAAATGATTGTTCCGCGAAACAATAATTTATAAATAACTGTAGATAAGAATAACAATTGAAAGCCAATGGTCGTTAAGAAAATCTATATATCCAAAACTCCGCGAAGGTTTGACGATATCTATTGTCTGTTTTCGATTCAGAACTTCTTACAGGGGACAGCGATAAATATCGTTTTTGGCATCCTACTGTTTGCGACATGGAATATTTAAGTGGGGCGAATTGTGGCCGAACGAATATTCTTGCATCTCGTGTATACGCTCGATGCACATTATACAATGGGACAATTAACGTTGACCGACTCTCGCGTAACGTTAACGCTCATCGATATCCCAGCGATTGTTTCGGTAAATAGCGTACTCATAAACAATAATTAATCGACTCGACCATAAATAAACGCGGAGAAACCAACGATCGATCGGTAAGGGATCGTTCCAGTTGGATTCCTCCAAGGAGGCTCACCGGATAATACCTACATTCTTCGGTACTCGAACAGGAATTTTTCTAACTAAATTTAAAGGATAATCAGGATAGCAGCGATTATCTACAATTACTCCATTGCTCGGAGTAATTGTGTTAATAGGCCAGAAAGAACGAACTCGAAACCCACGAGAATCGTTTCGCTGTACCCTGCCTGAAAATTATACCTTTGTGCTTTAAACGCTTATGAATCGTGAGCTAACAATGCTCTCCTACCAAAGTACCTCGGACAGTACCTAATCTCTCGTACGACCTAAGCAAACTCTGTCCTCTGTCTAAATACAACCCGTAATACCTGGACTGGGAATATCTCCTAGTTCTTGCTCGATATTTTCCTATATAGCGTAAAAAAAGTATACAACAGCCACTACTATGCAGAAACTTCAAGCGGACAGAACAAACGATACTTGAAGAATGTTGGCGAATTTAATGTCGGGCCTGAGCCTGGCGTTTAACAACGCCAAACGATCTACCCTATCCAGCGAGTCCCATCGAGGCCCCGAACGAGAGTGGGTGGGCCTGACACTTGCGGCCTCAGAACGAAATCGACGGTCGAGCTTCGAATGGTGGGAGCGAGAGAGAGAGAGAGAGAGAGAGAGAGAGAGGGAGAGAGAGCGAGAGCGGGNNNAGAGAGAGCGAGAGCGGGGGCTGCGGTGTAAGAGTCGGGGCCCTGAGGGCCCCTCATTCGAGCTCTGCGCCGGGTGTAGGAGCGGAGAGGGGTTAGAGGGGGCAAAGGCACATTCCAAGGCAGAACGGCTGCCAGTGAAGGTGGAAGGCAAGAACAGTCTCTCACGATATTGCGCTCCGTTCCTATCCACCGTTGCTTCCTTTCTTCCATAGAGCCTCGTCGCTCGTTTTCACCCGTCCCCGTGGGACCGTCGTGTGATCGTGCCGAGCCGTGCCGTGCCGTGCTGTGCTGTGTGCCGTTGCGATGCTACACGAGACGCGACGCGATGCGAACCGTCTCTCGGAATCGAATTAACGAGAATACTGTTTCGCCGACACCAGCCAGAAGAGGAACGTGCATGTGATAAAGGTTTCGTGGTACTGTGCACCGGGGTCTACGGTATACGGTGGTCGTTTTTGGCGCCAGGCGTGCTCCAACGTTTCAAAAATGCGCACGCCTACTTACGTAGCGCGGTATTCCAGTGGGAAGACCAAGGAACAGAGAGTTCGTTTCGAAAATAGATTTCTGCCTCGTGTACAGATCCGAGCTCCGATCGTCGGGCATGCGGAAGGAGCGTCACCGGGAGACAGTGATTGAGAGGATCCGGCAGACGGGAGCACTTGAATATTCGATCGCGCAGGTGAGCCGCAACTATTTCTTTCTTTTAGTACGAGTACGCGATGGATACTGGATTCGCAATTTGCTCGAGCTTTCCCGTGTAAACGAAACGACCAGGGAATCTGAACATCGAAAAAAAATTGATCGGAAGTGGGAGGTATTCGCATGATTCGTTGGAGATTTTTTTCTTCTCGAAAGAATAACGTCCTGCGTCTGTAACATTCGACAAGTCATTTAAACTTTACGATGGTGCAAGTGTCGATATCGGAAAATTTCGTGACGAAGTCGAAGCTGTTGACACAAGCGTTCCATTTATACGTGACGGTGAAACCGGTATTCGTAGCAAAAGGAGCAAAGCAGATAGCTTATCTGAATGTTAGAAATTAGCAGCTTCTAACCTTTAGATAAAGGCTGTTATAGGTTTCATCAGCGATCCTCTATCTCTTCGAATCGAAATTATATTTCTGCCTTTCTGTTCCTTTTCTCTTTCGGCGAATAGAAGATCAAGCGAAAGCGATTTTCAGCCACTTGGCCACCTATCAATCGAGCACCATAACCTCCTTAGTTACATCAGCGTCAGGACATTTTACATATAAACACCGCGAGAAACTTTTTTGACGAATCAAGCATTCCGTGAGAATCGTCTGGAACAGCGGGCAACTCGAGAGGAGGAGGAAGAGGGGATCGTTGGTTTTCTGCTTGAACGAAATTAAATCCACGTGCCGCGAAGTATTCCCATTCTTCGTTCGATCGAGAGATCGTCGAACGACAGAAAAACTTAACCGCGTCCGAGCAACGCCATCGGCATCGAACTTGACCATGGCCTTCAGAGCCTTTGCGCTCGTATAACGAGATACGAGGAATGTAAGTGGCCAAGAGTCCACCGGTTGGACTTACGAGAACTACTTCGAGCTGGTTACCTGCAACTAGATGCTCGATACCAAATATGCTTTAAGGTAGCGACCGATGTGATCGATTTTGCAGGTGAAGCGCAAGGGACCATTAGCCTAAGCAGATTTTCCTTTAAAGTAGACACAAGTCGATCTGCTTACTGTCACCGATAATGGTTTACAAGGAGACTAATAACAGGATGATTTCGTGTTGAATTTTTAATAACATGTCATCGATGTAGGATCCGATTTTCAACATTCGTGTACCGCCACTGCTCAGAAGTATTTGGATACTTTATGCAATTCCATCAGAAGGTTGATATTTTTTCATAATACACTTTTTCTCATTTATCTGTCTCGCGACTTGCCCTTTAAAAATACTTTTCTTCCGGCCTTGCTGCAACTCCTCGATCGATATTCCCATCGTTTTTGAAATATTCAAGAAAACGACAGAAACGTAAAATCAGACAAGAAGACAGTTTTGACGTGAAACTGACTGACAAAATATTGGATTTTTAAATTGTTCCTCTATAAAAGGCACGAAATGTCATCATCGAATCAAGAATTCCATTTGAAATATACTTGATACGTTTGAAACAATTTTACATGTACAAATATTCATAGGAGATAGTATAGGTATATGGGTCTAGTTAAATTACGATGCTTTATGCTGACACGATGTTAAATTTATCTATCGTAATAATGGCGACGGTGATCCTTACTTCCTCCATAGAACCTGTATACCACGCGACATGTAACTTTTCTTTCGAGTGCAAGTTGTACATACACGAAATCGTTAATTGACACCTTGAGAAAAATACAGCGATAGTTGTCGATGGTAGTTATTATCGGAACTCGTAACAATTTCTTAACAAGGTAATATGGAACGAATTGTTGGGTGGAATTCTTTCGAATAAGTACAATGCCGAACCATTGAAAGCCACTCTTCACAACTCGAGAAGAATCGTCTAATATTCACCGAGATATTTATATAAGTTCCTTGAAAGCTATTCGAGAAGTTTTAACGACGGAAGGCGCTAATAGGCTGCGAAAGTTTTCCGCATTTCCGTGTCCGGAACGGATACGAGATCCGCAGTTAGCATCGTTCCATTACTCGGATACCGCGTTACGTCGTAATTGGGAGATTCGTTAGTTTCTTAACTGATTGCCATCTTCTCACAGATAATCAACAAGTCGCGAACCTCTTGACTCTCTTTTTCGACCGATTCCATGACATTGCAGCTACTGCACGATACCTGGTCGTAGAATTAGAACCACGTACAGAAAATTCACTTGTCTGTTAGGTTGTTGGGAAAAATACTCCAACTTTATACCCCAATACTTTTAAACGAAAAGAGCGAAAAGTGTTGAAATTCGTAATTTGGTAGCCACGGGCTGTGGATATTTTCAGAGAAGAAAATGCTTTTATTTCATGATCGTGAACACCGCTTAAGCCAACTTCCACTGTTTTGTAATCCAAGACGATTTATCAAGTGGAACGGAGGCGGCTGTATGGAAACGAATCGGCTCCCGACGAGATGTGAGAAATGCGACTGATCCGCGAACGGTTCGTGATCGATCGAGATCGCGGAAACGAACGTACCGCGGCGTATCTCTCCAGTTCTCAGATCCTTCGATAGACGATTAATCGATGAAAGCCCATTACGCCGTCGTTTCACCACTCGAATTTTCAACGATAATTAATTGTCCGTTGGTACGAATCGGTTCACGCAACTACGATCGTATTTTCAGGTATTACAATGTCCCAACCGCAATTAACTACCGACCTGGACGTTCCGGAAAGTCCGCAACACTCTTGCCAATGCTCCGCAATGAGTAGCATGGATTCCATGAGAACACAGAGGGACAGGGCGGAGAGGAGCGTGGGAAGTACAAGAATTTCTAACAACCAAGAACTCCCTAGGGGTTTAGAGGCACTTCAGAGTGCTTTCGAACCAATAAGAAGACTCGAAAGTCCGCTATCTCATCAAGAAAGCCAACAGATCAATTTAGAGAATACCAGGAATGTCGATATTTTGGAGCATCAGGCCGGCTTATCGCCGAATACGAGATCGATGGAAGGTCAAAGCGCGATTCTATCGAGACACGGTCACAATCTTTCCTGCAGTCCAAGGAACTTGGATCTTTCCCGAAACTTGGCGTTCGAGGCTGCGCGAAGAGTTCAGGAATCCGGCAACTTACAGGACAACCAACACAGCCTAACTTCCAGCCCGAGTCCTTTGTTGGAGTCTAGCTCGGCGTTGCTCGAGACGTCCGCGAAAGATCTGGACAAGCAGCTCGAAGATCACACAGGGTTATCGCAGAAAGCAACCGCTTCGGGCAAAGATAAGCTGAAGAATATTCAGCAGGTTCTGAATCCTTATCAACACCATCATGAGCCGACGTCGCCGGAACGTAACGTCCACGGACACTTCCACGGTGATACCCACGCGCACGTGCACAAGCACGCCGACAATTTCCGAAGCACTACGAATTTGGACGTTGCAGATGGATTGATGGGATTTCAGCAGCACCAGCGACAACACACTCATCATCATCACGGGAACACCAAGGCAACGAACGTGACCCATCATCACGGTCCGGCAACCGTGCATCATCCGCATGGTCCACAAGGAATAGCAGCGCACCATCATGCAAATCTGGCGCCAAGCTTAACCAGCCACGTTCATGGAAACTCTGGTCCTTTAAGTAGCCCCAATGCAAATCATGGAAGCCAAGCTGCAGCCGGAAATCCGAATACTCATCACCATTCGAATCCAATATCGACATCTACTACCATGGTACACAGAAACTCACCGACGAGTCATCATCGTCTCGGTGGTAGCACCGGCTTGACCAGTCACTACCCTTCAAACTCAGGTTTCTCCAGTGATCACCACGGCACTTCCAGTGCAATGAGCGGGGCTTCGTCGAATTCGAGCATGTTAAATCATGGCGGTTCGCCAGCGGTTCATCGACACGTGGTCAATGCGAATAGCAGTCTCTCGACTACGCCATTAGCTAGCCATCATCACGGTAGTTCGTCGGGAAGTTTGACCGGACATTCGAGCGTAAATCATCATCACGTCAGCTCTGGCATATCCTGCGAGTCTTCTTCGTCGAACGCCAATACGAGAACGCACAGTCGCCTAGATCACGTCCACGATCATCATCACCATTTACAACAAGTGCATTCGTTGCATTCCAGCCACCCTGATACCAGGCAAAGAGACAGAGCTCCGTCGAGCCTGGAGCACCATGGACATCATCACGCGCACATGCATGCTCATGGACATCAACACACGCAGAATAACGATACCAAAAATACGTCTCTTATCGGAGTCGACTCGATACAGGTATTCTTGTCAAATTTAGATTTGAAAATTAGAATTTAACGAGAAATAGTTATTATTATAAAACTCAAATTTTTATATGAATCTAAATAGAATCCTGTTTCGGTTGTTGGCTATTATACCTTAATAAGTACTATATTTTCGACACAATTAGGTCATATAGATGCAAGTGCAACAATAGGGTAAAATCTGAATGTAGAAAATTCAATTTTCAGTGATTTCAAATTTTTAAGCAATTTAACATATTTTACCAAAATCTAACTACGTCTGTAGACGACAACGATCGTTAATCATTAGCTCGTTTAGCCATTGATGCAAAACTGTTACTCGCATGACTTCTATAACGTTTCATTACGCAATTTACTGGCGTGACAACAGTATGATAAATATAATTTAATTATTTACTACTGACAGGCAACTTTGTTGCATGTGTTCTGTAACTACAGTTTCGTGTCATTCTCAAAATCATTTTTACCCTTTGAACTTCTTACACAGTTTTTACATTTAAGGTCTCCGCTCCGTCGAAAAGTAAATGCCAATGTCACGTGGTGCAAACCGGTGGGAACAAGAGGGGGCAGGAGGGGGAGAGCGACGGAGGTGTTGAAGTGACATCAAGAACGCATCAACCTCCAGCGCTTCCTCCGCGACCACCCCCTAGGCCAACTAGACGATACGAAACTACGTCCGTCAATCAATGTAAGTATTTCCCTTATTTTATCTTGGTAACAACTATAATCATTTGAAAGGGTATTCTTTCAAAACGCTGTAATAAATTGACGAGATTTCTGAGGGAAAAATGTCTAATAACCTTCATCAGATTATTTGAATTCACGCAACTTGGAAACCCTCCTCTAATTAATTGGAAATATCCTCTCGAGTTCTTGTCCTTCTTCTCGTTGCTCAGATCATTTTTCGTCGAGTCATTTGAATTCAATTAACTTGTAAGTATGTGATAGATATGTAAAGGTGGCGCGTGTATTTTCTAACGAAATAATTTCGAAATTTTTCTTCATTTCGCAAATATAGAAATGGCAAAGTTCTGCGAGAGCCACGATAATTATTAATTCGAACGTAATTGATAGTAAACAACCAGAAGTAAAGCTTCGAAAGCGAGTTAGTCGATTTAACGCATCGATTGATGAAGCCTTTTTCCAAAAAACTCCTCAATTGTACCATGCTACATAAGTAGCGAATATAAAGAGAAACACTTGAAGCAATATTCGAACACTGTATCTCTCGCAACACCGAATCAATATCTCTTCCACGTTGGCTTGCCAATTTGAATGGCGGATATACAATATCGCCTGTGTTCCAAACACTCTTCCCATCCCCGTTTGATTTCCGCTTAAAGCGAGCATGTCACGCAGTTGGACAGTATTTCCTGAAACTCGGTTGAAATTAGACGTAGACGGGGATGGTAGCCCGTAGCTCCACCCTTAGTCATCTCGCCTGACGATCGTCAGAATGTCTGCAGTATCAGCAGGATGACGAGCAAGGCCGCATCTACCATCGTTGCTGTCCCCTTTATCAATAGCGGCCACGCGTTATCGACACCGGAACGCATCGTTGACCGATTCTACTTGCTTCGAGGAGCAACCCCCGTGGAATTTCGACCCTCGACCGCGTCGAGTCGCTCGAATCGTCACGGTATATCGACCAGTCGATGCTCGCAGCAACCGAGAACAGAAGCATCGTGACGAAGAATGCTGTGATTCGAACAACAGGATACTTTTGCCCTCTCTGCTATTAATCCAAGCTGGCTGGTGAATGGCCGCGCAAGGAATGCCATCTTGGATGTTCCTTCGAAGGAATCCCAAGCCTCGGCTTCGTTCCCAAATCACCACCACCACCTGTGGGACACCTCAGCCAACGTGCGGGCCAACAGAGATCTCGTGGAGTGCCTCTCGAGTTGTTGTGCTCTCGCATTCGTTTCCAAGTATTCAACGGAGAGTGTAAAGAGCAAGGAATAGCTGGAAATATACTAGCATCGATATATGTGTTGTCCAAAATATTTTCAAGAATCTGCCGCAAGAATAGATCGAATGTCGACCCCACGGATATAAAAATAATTGACATTGGTGATCGTCATACGCGAAGGTGGACCGATTAATGAGAAAGTGCGCGATGAAGAATTGACCTTGAGAAAAACATCCCCTCGTGGAGAAACTCGCGTGATGCGTAAACGTGATTCATAAACTATCGAGGAAGATAATGTGCGTTGTAATTTCTTCTTAACGCAAATTGGTACAATTTTTCTTTTTTTCTTCTTTGTGATCTAAACTCTAAATACATCGAAGAAATAACCGTGTAATAGTGATGTAAATATTTAATAACGTTGGATATTCGATGACGAAGGATACTGTGTCTGATACATGTTGGTTTGGAAAGACAAAAGAGTGACGAAAACATCCACGAAACTTTTCCTTTAAAGTGCAAGTTGTAAAGAAGAAAATGGACGGATACCCAGTGCTGCAGATAGTCCGGTGCCGACTTGGAATGGAAATGGAGATGGATAACCAGGGTTATCCATTCACAATGGCGGCACACTCGCATTCCCACTTGCCACATCCGACAAACCACGCGCACTTCCCGAGATCGCATTACCCTCACCCCTGCGGTATGCCGATTAACCCTTCTTGTTAATTTATCAATCGGCCCTCCAACCCCAGTCTGTACCACCGATCTACGTGCCCGCATAATCTGATATTAGCTGCTCCATTAAGCTACCTTTGGTACAATGAGTCATTAAAGTAATCCATTCAAACATTCGTTTCTTTTCTGTAGAGGAAGAAACGCGCTTCTTACATATTTCAAAGATATACTGTTTATTTATTATATTTTATCATATCATATTATATTATTGTTGTAAGTAATTTGTTATACCGATTTATATCACGAGCGCATAACATGTCGCAAAGTTAAGTTAACGACTTAATTAATTACAAAACTAAAGAGAAGAATGTTTGTAAGAATGGAAATACGCGATTAATTTCGAATTCCTGATACCTTGACTCGCGTCACGATCTTCAACTTCCCGGTTCTTTCGTCTTTGAAATATTTCTAAATTATTTCCATGCGATATAAATTTTAAACGCACCGATGTCTACTACATTTCCGAATAGGGAATGTGCATTTTCTAGCATCCACGTTCTATTTTTACCGGCGGGAAGATATGTTGCATAGCCTCGTGGAAGGTCACGTGGATAACAAAAGGTTGCCGTATAAATAGATATCGACAGGCTTCTTAATAAAACACAGTTTGATTTTCTATAAGAGCTGACTCGATAAAAAGCTTTAAAATTCAATACATCGTAGATTAAGTAGTTTTAGAATTTCTAATATAATCAAGAATTCAGCTAGAGAGCAAGCTTGGAAAGATTGCGTGGTTTGAACTGGGAGTAAAAAATCGAAGGCATTTTATCCACAGAAAAGCTCGTCTGTTGAAAGAGCGTTTCGAGGAAAATCAGGGAACCAGCCATTTCCTTTTACCCTTGAAACACATTGTGGTTGAATGCTGGCATTTAAATACCAGTTTCGCTCCGCTTGCTTCGAAACCTACGATTCACCAGATCGTAACTCTAACAGCCCAGGTAGCAAAGGTACACTTTAACAATTCAATCCTAAACCTTGGTCCGTATTCACGAGAAGTAGCAGGTATTCGGAGGAATCTGGTAAAACGATTTTCCGTGGTAGTTTCAATAGAGAACACAACAAGCATGAAGCAAGGTTGTGCACGTTCGATTCGAGAAAAACGATTTACGAGTCACTGGGAACGAGATTTCGGTAAACCTTCTTTGACAAAGCTAAAGGGAAGCAGATTCCTAGAAAAAGAACGGCATTCCAATTCGTCTTTTGCCTTTGGGGTCTATTTGTTGAAGTTCGACAATGGCCAGGTATGTCAAAACACGAGAATGGTTGCGTTGACCATTTCGTTATAGCAAAACTGCTGTACTCTTGGGAATCGCGTGGAACTGTGAGAATAACAGTTTCTGGTTGAGAGGATTTTTTATTTGGCGCCAGAGCCGCGTGATCTTCGTAGATTTTGTTCGTTGGCAGAAAAATAATTAGATTTTTAATTACAGAAGATGATCTCTTCACTTGTCTTCCGGATCCGCGCTACAGAAGGGCACAGTACCCTTCTTTGTTAATGGGAAACCTGATTAAAAAGTTCAGCTCTGTCGATTCTCTTTTGAGAGAGAAAAGAGAGAGAAAGAGAGAGAAAGACTCTGCTATTGTCTCTGAAGCGACGTAGCGTCGACGCTCCCAACGCTCAACATTCATTGAAGGAATTTCCAATACAGCGTGGTCGGCTCAATTGAGAGTTTCGACGACAAGAGTTGAGCCCGACTGATTGAGAATGAAATACCTCGGCTACATATCGTAAAAAATAGCATTTGTGCGATGCGCCGCGGCGTGTGAAGACAATTTTGTAGGCTGTGTTTTACTACGATACTTCGTTATTCGCACTATTGCTCGGTACATTAACGCATTAACGCTCGAAAGAAATGAACATAATCATCGTCGGACAATCAATAATTTCCTTTTTCTAAAATATCCATACAGCTAAAAGGGGAAGAGAATTAAGGTGATCTAAGGGCTAATCATTGACTAACAAGATTCGCAGAATTTCGCTCAAGGCACGTTTCCCATTGTACTCAGATCAAAGCTCCCGTTGTTGGGTTCTCACGCAAGGACAATCATTATCCCGTGAAAGAAGGAGCCAACGCACGATGGGAATAAGTCTTGCAGGACCTTTTGACTGAAAAGGGTCGATAGTCGTACAAAAGATTCCGCTTGGCCACCGAAAGATATCCTTCCAGCTATTACGTGTTTCTTAGAGGCATCCTTTGAAGCGATCGTAGCGGAAAGATTCGACGTGAAATATTACGACCGTCGTCGTCTTAACACTCTCTCGTTTTTTTCTTATTCCTTTTTTTCAAAGACGAAAATATTCGAAGCGTTTCATTGAGGACTTTCGAGGCATACCATTCCGGTCCCCTTTTACCGAATACTCCTTTCCCTTTTAATTCCTCGCCTATCGCTTCCATACTATCAGTGCTGTGACCGATTTTAATTTTACAGGCCACACGGGGGAAGGTGGTTGCTGCAAGAAGTACGTTGTCCTTTGTTGCCTTTGTGGTGGGTTGAGCGCTGCGGTCGGTAGTCTCTTTTTGGCGGTACACGCGGTCCTTTCAGCCCACACGGCCAGTTTAGCTCTCTTTGAGACTGTACCATCTTACATTCCTGGCATAATGGTAAGAGGCAAAGATCGGAGTCTATCAACCGATCTCCCTTTAACGAGACCGCGTACGGAAACAATGAAGACACAAGGTATTTAAACTACTGCAAATTTCGTATTAATTTTCAGTTAATTCTAATGGGTCTATTCACGATGCTACTCGCCAGACGGAAGCACAGATACGGACTTTTGGTAAGCCGTTATCAATGACCAGATAATACGGTCGTTGGTTTTTCTATATCGGATACAGATCAAAAATTACCTATTGCTGTAAATTAATTTTCCCCCATTTTATATCATTTTCTACATTTTTCTATTTGATATGCTCTATTAATTCCTCATACGATCAACTCTATAGATTGCAAGGCAGAATGAGACGATGACTTTATAACATTGTTCTTTGAAGACATCTTGGAATTTACTCCTATTTATAAATAGAATCCTTGTGATAGATTAACTTACGCAGATGAGAATCATATGAATATCTGATAGCCACAAATTCCACTACTTCGAACTTAACCCAATCGTAAACTACGTTACTTATGGGATGGCCTAATCGAAATAATATCGTCTCGCCTATATAATCCCTTCCTTAAAACGCTAATATTTTGTAGATGAAAGTCTGTGGATCTGTTGGAGTGGTATGTGCGTTGGTATGCGTGTTAGTCACCGTAACGACGACAGTGATACACATGTCCCGGCTGCAAGGTCTTCGAAAATGCGTTTATACCGTGAAAGCGAGGTTGGTATATTCGTCTATTTTTACACGGCGGCGAGATCGATAGTTTCTATTCGATAATTATCACCACAGGTCGTGCACGTGTTACGGAGCGCCAGAAGGAGATCCTGGAGTTCTCTTCGAAGGTACTCCCCACTGCGAGGCGGTCCACGGCGCTCTACACGCCTGTCTCAGGGCTCTGTTTGGAGTTTCGGTCGCTGGAATCTTAGCTTGCATATTCTCGTGCATGCTGGTGTACCAGTTACTAAGTCACGAGAAGAAGAAAATGTACTGGGAGCAGTTGGAACTGAGATGCAGATCTTTGTACGGCCAAGGAGGCACCGTGGGACCGACGACTGGTTCCTGCGGATGTTGCAACGATTGTGGCGGTGCTAGTCCTTGGTGGGCGCAGACCCCAGGAAATCTCTACACGCCAAATCCCGATTTGGCGCCATCCAGGTTCGTACACTCGAAAAATCGAATTCTGAGAAAGTCGGCAGTATAATAAAATCCGGAGAGTCGAAGAACGATATAATCCTGAAGATCACATTTATAGGGCATTTCCAATTTCAAAGCATTTAAATTTATATTAAATAGGATTTATATTAGAAAACTGTCGAAACAACGATACATAATTATTATACGTTTACTTATCATTCTGATTCTTGTGTTTATATATTGCATATATATTGGGTCGCAAATCTTGCACGAATATAAAATTGTAATCGAGTAATTGATTCTTTGATATTCTCGTGCTTTAGATAAGCGTCACGTTTGGTACGAACACGAACGTACACTATAAACCTACGATGTACAATACTTGTTATGAAATTACATTCGAAATATTAATCGATCTAACCTTGAAAACGTGCCGCGTTTTATTGACTCGATGTCAAACCATCGGATGACACCGTTGAGTGAATTAACGTCGTTTAAATTGTCTTCGTAAAACTACACATAATAATAGCACACGTGACGAGGACTGTTATGGAATCGTTACGAATTCAATACCGGGACGCGGTGGCCGATGAACTTTATTGAGAAATTATTGATGCGATTCAAATGCGCACGGTGCATTTGTCTGCGAGTAATGATACATATTCAATAGATTTCATTCACGAATGTCACGAATATCGGTAGCGGAGTGCAATAAACCCGTAAACGAGGCAACGCTCCCTCCAGGCTCCCAGGACACATTGTATTCTGGTAATCCGCTAATGTATGGCATTAATTAAGCTGGGATTCCATTCTGTTCTTCTGACATTTAGAGGAGGGATTCCTCCGTTTCAGAAATAAATTATGACGAACGACGAGCCGTTCTTTGAAGTTCGCTTTCGGTCAAATTAACAACGAAAAATTCCGATCGTGCCTTCTAATTAATCCGCCGGCCATTGTAACATTTTCTACGAAATATCCAGCTTTATGGGAAAAGAAATTCCAGCGCATAGAAGATACGTTCGGTGTGCTTGAAATTCGTTTCTTTCGCGATAAGATAATGAAGTCGATAGGATGTTAATTGTCGCAGCAAATTCAAAGATCGTTCCTTTTACCTTGCAGAAGATGGCGGCTACCTTGGTCTAGATCCAGAGGACCAGCTCCGAGTCCAGACTCGAATTATGGCTTTCACACTCAGACCAGACAAACCGAGGCCAACGTGGAAAACACGAATGGCCCCTATAGCGTTCTTAATTCTCAATCGAGTGGCCCTTATTCTGTATTAAACACGCAGAACGGCCCGTACACCCCTAGTACGGCTTCTTACAGTGTTTTAGAGACTCCAGTGCCGTTATGGGGTCCTCCGCCACCTTATAGCGACCCTAACAGCCCAGCTAGGCGACCACAAGTCGCGGAACAAAGACCCAGAATTGCCAAACGGATGGAGAACTTCGAGAACAACGAAGGTGAGCAATTAAATGTTCATTAAAGATTGAAGTTTGAAGAGAGAAATACGCTCGATAATCGTAGGAGTATGAATTCGTGTGGCTGGGTAACGGACAATTGAGCGAACGTTTATATTACTATATCGATAATGAGAATGAAGCTTTTATTTAGTCCGCGAGGAAAATTAAATCGTTTCGCCGTTTTATTTCTACTTCGTTGTGAAAACCGTTATTTCAACTTCCTTGGTTTTACTTTTCACACACAAAAAAAATCACCATTTTCACAGATCACAGATCACGATCTGCGAAACGGCCATCGGATAACTACGAAAACGCCGAAGAAATCTCGAACAGCACCGATCCAGAAGGAGGAAACGAGGGCACTATGAAAGGCAGACGAACCAGGAAGCCTCTGAAGGGCGTAGAGAACAATGCGTTCCAGCAGGAAGCGAATCCTGGACCAAAACAGTCGGAAAGTGAACTGTACTTCGGTGATGTGTCCTCGTGTTGCGGACCCGAGAGTAGTTTCTACGATTTGGCCGTAGAGAAAGAAGGTATATAACGACACTCTGAAGATTGAACAATTGGAAGGGAACTAAGATAGCTCGCCACTCATTGCCATTGATCATTCACCCCGATTTTCATAGGTACGGAGCATTCAGAGGGCGTGGACTACTTGGCAGCTCGTCTAGGTAAACGACAGCTGTCAAAGAGATCCAGAATGCCTCTGCCACTGCCATCGGACGGTGGTGACATACCATCCGACAATTACGCGAACAGTGACGAGCCCAGAAGCGCCAGAGGACCTTTTCTAGCGCCTGATGCGCAATACGAGGTCATTCAACAAGGCCGATACTCTTACTACACGTCGAAGGACGACGAGCAGCTTCAAGAAGGTCCAGCGACTTCTGGATACTTCAGGGAGGAGGAGACTGAAAGGGGAAGGGATTACAGGGATTACAGAAGCAGTCAGGAAGAAGAAACACCTCAGTGTTGCTTGAGTGATTCGACGACGTTGGACTCGGGTTGGCAAAGTGGCGAACAACAACAGTCCGACGACAACGTTAGACCGGTTAACGTGTGATCGCGTTTATCGTTAGACCAATAACGAGATAGTTGTCGAGAAACAGTAGTATTATATTAAGTGGTAAACGATGTAAGGGGAGAGCAAAGACCGGAACCTCGATTCAGTACAACTTGATGCTTTGATACGTAGGAGAAAGAATCGCTGAGAGAACCGTGGCCATCCCCGTAGTCTGTTGTTTCGTATTTACTATGGAGATGTTGCGAGTTCAGGACTCGATCTACGAACTATTCCGTGTGCACTAGATAGGAAATTGTCCATGTAGAATACAAAGATGGTGATACGAGTGCAAATCTATGATTACCATATTCGTAATAGAACCTAAGTGATGTGATTTGTGGTACGATAGTATAAGTAAACCTTAATCGTTAGAGCGTAAGTGAATGAGAAATGTCCGCGTCGGATTACTTTTTTTCCAGCGATCCACGCACTATTACAAGTCTGAAGAAGGATCACGAAGAGTAAACTCTACGTCAGAGTACGCTATATGTGAGAAATCCTACGTAACGATGTATTTTTATTAATTAAACGATGTCGCCCATGTTGTTCGTAATATTAATCGCTAATGTATGTTGGAAACGATCGTATATATGTAGAGAAAGAGAGAGAGAGAGGAAGAAAAAGGGAGAAGAGATTAGTCTCATAGATAATATGCCAAAGAAAAGGTCTCTAGAGAAGGCGAAAATATGAATGAAAAGAAAGGGATACATTTTCCAAAGTTCTGTTTCGTAAAATTTACCCCTCGACGGAGACTTTTACTTTGGCGATTCGTTAGAAACGTCCATGTACAAACGTGTGCTTTACTCTTGCCAATATCTCGCTAGACGTCAGCTGGATTTAGCACTTAGACGTTAATTGTCGCAAAAATGTTTACCATTCGATAATAAGTTCAAAATTGGGCACGTTAAGCTCGCCATGAATTCTCGGTCACTGCCATTCGAACGTTCAATTCCATTCTCAAAACCACATAAGGATGAGAGAAGATGTTTTCGCACGTCCATAATTTCGCACGAAGTCTGAGTTTTATGAATCTATATATACACCCGGAATTTTACGATTCTTTTAAGGAAGATATTTATCACGCGTCGTAGTATACGAATAAACGAGTAACCGTGTTCGTGGTCTGTGTTAGCTTCGTCGAGCTTTTTACGTTGTAGGGCCGCATTCGCTTTCGAACATACAATCCTAGTGGACCAAGAACGATATAAAGAAGAAGATTGATCTTACTGACAATGAGTGAATATTACAAATTAGAAGTAAAATCTATCGCCGTTAACAACCGTTCGTTAGATAGCACATAAAAACAGATGCATATTTTATAATCGACATTCGAGAACGAAAGAGACAAGGCCAGCTTAGGGGAGTAGTTTAACGTTGTTTACTCGATAAAGTGTACCTTAAGAGCGATACGTAGCAAGTCCGATACATTGTCGAACGATGTAACTAACAATGATTAAGAATAAAGCTTTGTTTTGTAAAGAAACCACGTGTCGCTCGATGAATTATACGTATTCTTTCGAGCAATGAAACGAAAAAAACGAAAACAATTAGAAATTAATATACGAAACGTCCTTTCGCCTTTCATCAAGCTTCGTTCAAGGATCATAACTTGTACCTAAAAAAACTACATTTAAGGAGCTATAGAAAAGGATGGCTGCTCTTTTTCCATTAACTCGAGTAAACAAATAAAAACCAACTCAGAATCAATGGAAATCGAATGAGTTTTTGGAAAGTCCTGCAAATTCATAGTCAACTAATTTAAATCCTAAGATAATTTTGGTATTTTCGTAAGTTGCGCGTTAAAACGAAACGATTGACACAATATGTAATATTTCGTGAAACGTGGCTTTGTCAGGAACGTGCCATACAGACTTTGGAAATAACTGTTATTTTTGGTTGCTGATTTCATCGGTTGGTCCATCGATGAAAGAAACGGATACGAACACGACACTGACTGTCCCCAGGTCAATGATTTTATCACAGCCGATATGTCACTGAAACACGCCCAGGTAAGCATTTAACGAGGAATGCGGGATCTATAACGAGCACCGCTATTGTCAGCAATTTTCTTAGTGAACTCCCGCGCTCCGTGCGCGTTGGCTAATATCAGATTATGAGATTTCGCAACAGACAGCACGATCGTTGAACTTTCGCAATAACGTGTGCAGCGCGCACACACGAGAGCTCACACCATTGTACGTAACATTAATTTCACATAATCTAGATTGATCGTTCGACGGGATAGAAACGAATCTATACAGCTTACCAGCATTTGTGTATACTTAGATATATTCAAGTTCAACCAACCACGACGATGAATGAACACGAGATTAGAAATAGAATATCTTGATTAGTGCAACACGCACGAGAATTATTCCCGATTCTGAATCATATCGGAGAAAATCTGTCACGGAAGAAGGATTCGTTTATCATTTTCTTGCATCTACGCTTGCATCTATCCGTTAAGTAGCCGGACGCTTTCATAGATCTGTGGTAGCGGCATATAAACTTTAACAAAGTGCGTACGATTGATGGTAAATTAATAAGCAAAGATTAGATGTTGGTTTTTCGAAGTTTATCCATAATTTTGCAATTAAGCTACACATCCTGTCGGAAGTAAACAGGTGTTTTTATACTCTTTGTTGCTAGCGTAGATCAATTACCAGAAACAACAAAGTTTACAGTGTTTCCATTAGAACGTTCCATATAATTCGAGAACAATGCAATCTTCTTGAAAAGCGTGTCCATATTCTCGAGATTCTATCTAGCTGAGTTCAGAATTGTTTGATGCTGTAAGCTGAATCATTTAATTAGCAGAGGTAAAGGAACGTGGCGATTGAAGTTAATAAATCGCAATTAAAGTGTTTTCTAGGTTCGCGTCTTGCCCGATACGATCTTTCAGAATGAAAACACGCTATAAGTGGCTACCCTTCTTTAACCGTAGCCACTCGACCGTTTGAATCATCCGTGCTGTGTCGCAATCGTTACGAACTTCGCATTTAACAATCCGTATCTATGGAGTTTAACTAATTAATGAAACCGTCAATGAAAGAAATTGGCAGTAGTCGTTGCGTGAAACTTTATTACATCAGCTGGATATATAGCGCGTGATAATCATTAAAATTGTGATATCAAACAGGTCATACTACTAATCTACTGTAGTACTCGTATAAATGCAAAGATACAATGGCTCACTTATAGAAACCTTTCATGAACATAAAGATCGTAGATGAAAAACACGACGAGTCGCATTTCCTGTCACCCATGAAAGAACAATTTTTAAATTCAACACGCTGTCAGTCAATTCCACGTCGAAACTATTTCTCGGATAAAATATATATTTCTGTCAATTTGAAAAATATTAAACATATTAATTAAGAGCAACCAACATGCATAACAATTAGACTAATATTATTCGTTTCTTACAAAACATTGTTCATCGCCTATTTTCAAATGGCTTATGTACCTTCCACATTCGAATCTATCAGATTATTTGTTACAAATGATTAAAAATTGTTTGGTTACTGGCAAATATTATCGACAGCGAAATTTTGTTCCTGTTACCAGGAACGATGTCGACCATCGTCAATTTTTATCAACATACTACTAATAATACCGAACTTGAAATACCTGCGCGAGTCATTGTACTTGCATACGTTCTGAGATCGAAGATTACGCGTAAACTGTTATATTACAAGGAATATTGATATTCAAAGTTGCTATCGGTATTAAATATCGTAATTCGCAATTTAATTGTCTCTGTTATTTTCATTTTAAGAACAGGATCCCTCGACGACGCGATGCGCTGCCTGATTCACCAGAAATCTTTCTACTCTTTCCCTGAATTCCCTGCTGGACTCTGGCAGTGGTAACCTTGGTCCCGAATTCCTCAGGCTGTGTAACGTTGTTAAATTTTGCAAACTTTCAGACAGTCTTCGATCGTGATCCAAAATGTCCGGTCTTGGAGCTGGTTTTCTCTTACCCGCTGCTGTTCCTTCCAATTTTTTGTCTCCAACTGTTCCATTCACGTAGCCGCTTTCTGGCAACCGATTCATCATCCCCCGCAACGCTATTCTAGCGCTCAGTGCAGACCAAAATGCTTCGAGAAGAGACGCCACCAACACGTTCACTGTGAGTAAGATCCTAGTATGCGAGGACTGGTGATGATCCCTGTACAAGAATGACATCATTCTGCTCTTGATCGTTTTCAAGGATTCTTCGGTAACGTTATCCGAATCTGGCGAATTCTCTTCGTCTTTAGAATCACTGTTAGTGAACGATCTACTAGGACTTTCGGTCTCACCTTTCTCAGGATCAATCGTCGAAGTTCTCAAGATGTACCCAGATATGTTTGACATGTTATCAAATACAATGCCAGGCATGGGAGAGTAAAGACGAATCTTTGCAGATTGATCATAGATTCTACTGAGATTGAAATTGTCTTCGCTGAGTGGCATCGTCTCGTTTAACAGAGTGTCGTTCTTCAGGTCAGAATGATCTCGCGGCTGCTCGAGAATTCTTTCCAGCGACCACAGAGAGCTTCTACTCTCCGCAGCGGCCGCGATGTCGAACACTGTGGCGATGAAGCAGAGGATCGCTGCTATCAAGGAGAACAGATTTCCGTAAAAGAAGATAGCGATGTTCCTATCGATGTACCATCTTCTCCAGGCGAGTAGACCGGTCACGAAAGGAACCAAACACGCGACCGATAGGATCGGACCTTGAAGAGATAAGGCCAAGCTGCCTAGCAGAAGGGAAAGTGCACCCAGACCAAAATGCACGAAGGACAAACCTCCCACGGTCGATGCCGAATAACGTCGTTCGGATGGGTACAGAGAAGACAAAGCTGGCTTCGTTTTCACCTTTATCACATACACGTTTTCCATCATTGTTTGCTCGGCGAATTTTATGTCAACGGTTTTTTATCGCAAAACAGAGCTGAGACCATTCACGTTAGAAAGGTTATCACACACAACTTTCCGATAGGGTTAGTGAAAATTCGATTGTATCTGCCATGGTGACCCATGGCCGATGACACTGTATTTCCCAGATGTGAATATGTACTACGATATTAACCTGGATACCTCGAACGGAAATTGCTTTGTACTTCCTGCTGTTTCGGAACCACAGGCACTTGACCGTGAACGAAATATGTATACCGACTGTTACGAAGACACGAAAGAGATATCAATGGTGTTTGAAAGGCAAAGCTCTGAAAGACGGCACACGGATCAGGCGAACGTTCATAGCGAAGATTGCTGCTTCTTTCGCTATCTTAACTCGCAATCGTGGTCGTTGGATGACTGCAACTCAGAATTGCTGAAACGTTAATTCGGTGGAAATCGACGACGATTTCCGTACGGGTAGAAGCAAGCAGCCGGTCAATTATGCTAAACGCTTGAATTTCATTGAAATCTTCGTCGCAGCGTCGCGTGAATTTCTTCCTGGCTGTCGACGAACACCGCGAATACGCTTATGCAATTCGTTTGGAACAATGGAACGAGGACGAAAACTCAGGGAGAAGGAAGAGCCACACAACCGCGACTGTATCCAATAAGCGTGAACGCGAAACGGTAAATAGGTTTAACAACCTGACGCGTCGTCGTTGCTACAACTTCTTTTTTTCTCATACGTCTATGGTGGTAATGCGAACATTACGCAATAGCAGTTGACTACGAAGCGATGCAATTATCTCGTTGCACGCGCGTATCGGCGTTCTCTGGCTCGGCTTTTCTCAGACACCGTTTTCACCGATTTCTTGCCTCTTTGTGCCAGCCGCTCTGGATTTTCGATCTCATGGGAAATCACTGATCCAGTTTCCATCCACGAGAACCGTCTACTCTGTCGCCGATCACGAGCGATCAATAAAATCGTTCTCTTGATCGTTCCTCGAACTTAGATCACTCTTCTCGTTGACTTCTTTCGACCGGTTGTCTGTCGGTTAATTGAGACCATTCGTCCACACGATGAATGGAGTAATTAACGTAATTAACATGATCGGAAAGCAAGACAGCGACTGATCCTTTTCAGACGATTATTTCCAATCGAATAGCTGCTCTTTTCGCTTAACGTCTCACTAAATGTTAACGAAGCACGCATTTCCTTCACTTTACGAATTTTACTTGGACGCGTGTAAGTCTAACATTTAATTACAGGAGTTTGTCGATTCGAAAAGTTGAGGGCAGATTTCACGAGGGCAGATGATTGTCCGCGAAAGACACCTCGGTAGAGACTGAGCCGCGAACGAAGACTAGTTCGTGTTAAAATTACTATGAGATCCTGAACGGACCTCCCACGCGGTCGGTTTGCAGTGAAAGGGACAACAGAGAACGACGGATAGATGAACCTTCGCGTTGTTTTAAGCCTTCTTCACACCACTTTCCACGCTCGTAAAACGATGTCACGCTTGCAGACAAAAAATCCATTTATCATATCTTGTTTCTTTATATAAAAAGTTGTATGTTAAACAGTGTCAAGGCTCAGGATCAAATACCTCGCCATTTAATATTTTACAGGCAACTTGGTGAGAGTAAGTACATCCTGGAATCTACACGAAGGACTTACGCTAACCTTTACTCTTCACTATAGAAATACACGGGCTTGGCAACCGACCTTTTCTCCCAAGCTCAATAGGCCCGCACGCTATTAATAATATTGATCAATCCAATTTGACAATGATAGTACCGAGTCACTTTAATATTTTTTGC